TTTGGGATGGGTCTGTTGGGTGGTCGGGGGGAGGGGACATGGGCCGGCGGGATTGTTTTTAACCAAACTGTAAAGCACTTTGTGTTGCATCTTTTGTATGAAAAGCGCTTCATAAATAAAATTTGATTTGATTTGATTTGATGATTATGTTGTCATCTTGGTTCTTGTCAAAGATGCAGCCTCAAGCGAGCAAATGGAACTAGTATCTAAGCTCTCTCTATTTATTCATTTATTTATTACTGGGACGTGCATATTAATGAACATTTCTGTAAATATGCCAGAGAATTAGCCAAACGGCTATAGTCGTATACGTAGTCCCATGTCTCCTGAAAAGATAAAAACATGTTTGCTACTGTACACAGTTAAAATAACGTGAGATATTTACAATATTTACAAGGACAAGACAGTAAAACATTCAGTCACACATCGTTCAACAAACAACAATACACAATCACATGGAGACAGACACAGAACACACACAGGCGCACACAGAGCATGCGGCCAGTGTTTTAACTGTGTTTTGTACGTGAGGTAAGAAGGTGCATTTCTGATAGTTGTGGGTAGGAGGTTCCAATCTGAGGTGGCACGGACGGAGAATGAAGATTGACCAAATGTGCTTTTCCTGAGGGGGGTGATACAGTCCCCTCTCGCTGCCCCCCTGGTCCTAGTGTGGGTGCTGTTTCTGGTATTGATGAACCAGAACCTCTGAAAGATGACGTCTGTCGGTCTGTCCAGGGGGAAGGACAATAAAGAAACAATAAAAGCAAAGACAATGTTATGGATGTAACAGGAGTTTAAAGCAGGCACCGAGCGGTCTGATGCAACCCACGGCCCATCTCACTTAAGTATCTTATCGTGTTTTCATGTTGAGCAAAGCAATATTGGTTAGCCTTTTGCCCTCTCAAAGATACAGCAGATGCACTTGCTACAAATATTTATTCTAACATATAGTTGGAGTGTGAGGATACAATATGTTTACATTCAAAGCCAAGGGATACGATTCCAAAACGACTTTTTGCCCTTTTGAAACGACACGATTTGGTTCAATACGCAGATATTTTGATGCAATTTTTTTTTTTTTTAATCCAGAATCACTATACTAGCATGCCTACATAATCTAGTATTAATGCATCTGTTATATTATTTTTTATAAAGTTTTAGTGCAAACCATTTCCCTTTGTTTTAGTAAAACTTTTCTATCTCTTTGATTATAAGTAGTACCAAAGACTCCAAAAACCAATGTCTACAAGCAGTGAAACCAAGCCTGATGCTTCAGACACACATTTTATTATTGAAATGTAATGTTTTGGGTTGATAGAGGTGGTACATTATGCACTCATCTGGCCAAGAGGCTCAGGTACAATGTTTTTGGGAATAATAAGTTAAACCCTGATGTAATGTAATACAATACTATTATCAAAAAAGTGAGAGATCCTCCCTTCTACCGGCATGTTTTCAGTAGATTAGACTTAGAAAACTAGACTTCCATTAGGTTAAAATTAGAATGCTTATAATACATGTCATTTCAAAGAGTGACTCATGTTCTGCCTGATATGTTTCATTTCCAACGCATGGTAGAGATTCAGAAATGCTTTTTTTATGTGTGAGATATTTCTTGGGCATAAAATGGAGGATATTCTTGGCCATGGGTGGTGTGTGTGTGTGTGTGTGTGTGTGTGTGTGTGTGTGTGTGTGTGTGTGTGTGTGTGTGTGTGTGTGTGTGTGTGTGTGTGTGTGTGTGTGTGTGTGTGTGTGTGCACTTGTTTTCAACTCCTAGTGGGTTCCATAACCTGAGATTCCACTCACGTCATGGGGACTGGTTTTACGTGGTGGGGCCCGAACACCGGACCCCACTGGTCCAAGCTTAATAATCAATGGGTAATGCTTTTCTAACAGTCCTTATGCAGTCTCTGTAAAAATCAGTGTTGGGCACGTTACTTTGAAAAAGTAATTAGTTATAGTTACTAGTTACTTCTCCCAAAAAGTAACTGAGTTACTAACGGAGTTACTCCACTATAAAAGTAACTAGTTACCAGTAAAAGTAACTATTGCGTTACTTTTTCGTTTTGTTCTGGAACATAATGTGCACCCGACGTGCGCATTTTTACCTTTAACAGTGCCAATATTTCCATCTAGAAAAGGCTGTTTTGCTGCTGAAGTCCTGTTCACTCTTCATCTCTCTCTGTGCTGTAAAGCCCGCCACTGTGAATGTGGAAACACCGGTGACGAGCGGTGAGGCTGGTGAAGCACTGACTTCAGTTCCAATCAGATGAACATATACATCATATAAATCAAGTGGACAATTTGTTTGGCTACAGAAAAATATGTTTTATGCCCGCATTGTTTGTTCATACAAAACGCAAAACTATGAGTTATGGGTCTTACCTTATAGCTATACCTTATAAATGACCTGCACAGTCGGACGGTTTAAATAACCTTCACATATATATACCTTTTTCTAACCCCTTATTGTTTATTTTACCTAAAATTCCTTTCCCGCAACCCCTCACCCTCGCCTTGGGGTGTGTTATATAAAAGTTTTCCCCCTCCTTTTGCTGTTGTTTTCCGCCACTCTCGGCTCCGCGCGTGTGTGTTCTTATTTCTTCCCTCCCAGGCCCCTTTGGCCCCTTCCCTGCTTTATATGCTCCTCCCCCCCCCCCCCCCCTGCGCGCCGTGCCGGTGTGTTGTTATATACGCGTGTTGTGTCCCTCTGCCCCTTTTTTCCCCCCCCCCCCCCCCCCCCCCCCCCCCCCCCCCCCCCCCACCCCCCCCCCCCCCCCCCCCCCCCCCCCCCCCCCCCCCCCCCACCCCCCCCCCCCCCCCCCCCGGCTTCTCTTTTTCCTCGTGTGTTATATAAGTCTCCCCCCCACCTTACTGCGTATTTGTTGCTCTGGTTACCCTCCCCCTTTGTTCAGGGTTGGTTCTGCGTTCTGGTAGGGTGGGCCCCACCTCGGTATATATATATATGTTGCGGCTGCTTTCCCAACCCCCCCTTCGGCGTATCCTGGGCCTCCGCTCCCCCTGTCGTTCACCTCCTTATACACACACACATGCCCATTCGCTGCTCTGCCTATACCTGGCCGGCGCCCCAGGGCGCTAGATAGATATATATATCCCCCCCCCCCCCCCCCAGTGTGTTGGTCGGGCCGTTTTCCGGCCTGCTACCCAACAAATCATTCAATCATAATAACTCCACCCCCCCCCCCCCCCCCCCCCCCCCCCCCCCCCCCCCCCCCCATATCCTCCCAATTTTAAAAATAACCCCCCCCTTATATTCCTATTTATATCCATATTATGAAAACATATATCATTACCTCTTATCCCATCAGTCGTGCACCAAACCCCTCCCTCATCCACCCCCTCCCACACACCACTTCCCCCCCCCCCCCCCCCCCCCCCAAAAAAAAAAAAAACAAAAAAAAAAAACAAAATCCCACCCTAGTCGTGTGTGTTGCATATTTATCCCTATATATATATATATATATACCTGTGTATATATACTCCGTATGTGTGATATATATCCCCCTTCCTATATCGACCCCCCCCCCCCCCCCCCCCCCATGCGCGCTTCACCCCCCCCCGATACCCATGTATTGTGTGTGTCCTTTGCTATACTCCACCCCATTGCCCCTCCTGGCCCCCCTTCTTGGCCAGGCGATCAATCCCCCCCCCTATTATCACTCCCCCCCCACCCCGTCCCCCCCCCCCCTGGGCGGCTGTGGGTCCCCCCACAATTAATGATATATACTATATATCCATCTATCTCCCCCGGCCACCTTCCATTCCCCCCCCCCCCCATCTTCCTCATTCCCAACTTCAATCCCTCACTACATCCACTCCCCCCTATTTGCCCGCCAGCCGTCCCCACTGCTCCCCTGTATTGGTACGCGTTCGTTTACCCATTAACTATATCCGTCTCCCCCCCCCCCCCCCCCCCCCCCCCTCCTCCTCCTGTCCCTCCCCACATGATGCCCGCGGTGATATATATTTCACCCCCCCGGCGTCCGCCCGGCTCGCTATATGAGTGGTGGTGACCATATGCCCCCCCAATAGGTGGTATCAGATATATGTGTGTTCTTATTTATACATATCTTCACTATGCCACATACTCCCATATTCGAAGGCCTTATATTACACTATATATATATATATGTCATACATCCCTTAATTTAGCTGTTCCCCTCATCCCTCTGGTGTATTTTTCGCTATCCTTCACCCAACCCCCCCCTCCCCCATCTCTATATTTTACCAATAACTCTACTCCATGTAACTTCTGTGTCCTTCCCCCCCCCCCCCCCCCCCCCCCCCCCCCCCCCCACCCCCCCCCTATTTTTTGTTCTGGTGGGTGTGTTTGGGACATATTCTTGTCTGACAATACATAAACCCTACCCCCATTCTCCCCCACCCCCCCCCCGGCATATATATTATTCCCCCCCATAGCCTCGTGACCCTATTATGATGCTTTGACCCCCCCCTTACCATATCCCCCCCCCCCTTCTGTTGCCCCCCACCCCACCTAGCTCACTTCGATGTGTATCCAATATATCCCCCCCCCTACCGTACCCCAACCCCATCACACTCCCCCCCCCACAAATATAACCACCTCCATCCACTATATATACTTTGTCGCCTTACTTCTTAAACAACCCCCCCCTCAATAAACAAATCACCTTATATATCCCCCCCCCCCCCCCCCCCCATGCCTCTCGGCGTCTCGTCCCACTATCCCCCCATAACCCCCCCCCTGTTGTGTTTTATCCCCCTCCATCCTTACCCCCCTTGTGTCGTATATATATATCAACCATATACCCCCTCCCCCCCCATGTGTCCCCCTATATATATATGGTTATAATAATATGCCTGTTATATATATAGATATACATTATCATATTTTTATACCCCCCCCCTGCCCCTTTACCACCATGTGTAGAGATAGGTTGTTGGTGTTTCGTTTATGCTTTGCCACCTTTTATTAAACCCTGTCCCCCTCTATGCTAGTGTTATATGTGCCCCCCCCCCCCCCCCCCCCCCCCCCGGTCCCCCGGTCGCCCCCCCCCCCGTTTCGACCTGCTTCGGCTGCCCATTGTTCGGTTCTTCACTGGGGTGTCGCTACACCGGTTCCGCCCCCCCCTGGCCCCCTTCAACCCACCCCCGCCCCCCCCCCCCCCCCCCCCCCCCCCAACCCCCATGTGGTGGTGCCTTCTGCCCGTGTGCGCCCCCCTCCGCTGCTCTTTTCCCGTCCCCACCCATAGCGTTGGACCTCCCCCCCGGCGGCGATCTAGGCCTTGCGTGTTGTTTGTGTCTTATGTGTCGTCTTAACCCTATTCTATGTGTATCATCCCCCTCTATCCCCGTGTGTGGAGCTATATACATAATCAATCTAATCCCTTCTTATGAGGTGCTGCGTTGGTGTTATATCACAAACACAACAACCCACAAAAAAAAAACAAAAATATGGGGTGTTCCCCCCCCGTCGCGGATCTTTCCGCTCTTCCCTGTTCTTTGTGGGCGGGGGCTGTTCTCCGGGCGGGTATATGACCCCCCCCCTATAGCGTGCTATTGGTTCCCGTATCAACCACTAATATATACAAATATCACTAAACTTTTTTTCCCCTAAAGGCCACTTGTATTTTTATTTTCTGTGCGACAGGGAGAGCAGTAGAGATCCTCTCACAAACGGACGGGCTAAAAGAAACTTCAAGCGGAGAACCTTCAACCATTCATCCAGATGCACCCCATGGTAGTGGCAGTGCCCCTTCTGGTAAGTGTACCAGGTGGGGGATTACAGCCAGGCTGCTTGGTCCTAACCCTGGGAGTGTATATTGCTAATATATTTTTATTTCTCTCCCTAGAACGTGTAAGAAAGCCATGGTCTGCATCTGAGGTGAAGGCTGTGGAGAAGACCATGACACCTTTCATACAGACTGGAAAGGTCCCTGGGAAGTCTCACTGCCTGGCCTGCATTAATGCCTCACCAGATGACCTTAGACATCGGACATGGAGTGGCATTAAATTCTATGTCAAAAATAGAATCACTGCAATTCGAAAACAAAATCTAAAATAAAATTCCTTTAAAATAGTTGTTTAGTTTCTATTGACTGTTTTGTATTACTTAAAGTAGTCCCAGTAAAAAAAGATTATGTCTATGGGTCCCATTCTGAACGGCCCTGTCAAAGGGACCCACCAGGTAACAAAAACGTGTATGTGTGTGTGTGTGTGTGTGTGTGTAAGTGGGCGAAGTATCCATGCAACAGCAGTGAACAGTCAAGGCTGTTAGTTATTTCTTCAGAAAAACAGCCCCTGGGTAAACGCTGTCTGACATATGAGCCTCGATTCCAACTGGACAAAGACCTCCACAAGTCGTGTGTTTTTCTGGAGACAATTAATAAAGGAAAGAAGCTCGATACAGGCAAATCAAATGGTCACTGTGGGGGATCAGGGTTAACAAATTTGAATCATCTTTTTTTGTATCAAGTGTTGAGTTTGCTTGAGCAGTTTTGGAAAGATTTAGGGCTATACAATAACAATGCATTGTTATTCATGGGAAAATGTGCAGCTTGTTCAAATTAGAGCATTTACAACATTTTCATAGTTTTTCAATGTTTTTTTTTTTAAGTAATAGATTATTTCTTTGATTAATCGATGAGTTAGAACGTGGATATGTGATTTGTATTTCTTTGAATTGTAGCCGCTGAGGACTTTCGAATAGTTTTTTTCAGTGGCGTTGATGCTTTTCTCAGATCAGAATGAAAGATCCCACAACTATTAGTTCAACCTCCACAACTTTGGGCGATTTGTGCACATCATTGTAGCAGTTTTTCAACAAATGTCAAATGCTTTTGGACAAGTATCAGTTACTTTCCATATCATTCCCTATAAAACGAATAGTCCTCATATTATTGCTTGAGTCATCACATACAACATTATTGAACTAGTCAAAATCTGTTGCCTTGCAAGGGAAGACATCCGCTGTGATGTAGATACAGTGCCTTGCGAAAGTATTCGGCCCCCTTGAACCTTTCAACATTTCGCCACATTTCAGGCTTCAAACATAAAGATATAAAATTTTAATTTTTTGTCATGAATCAACAACAATTCACACAATCGTGAAGTGGAACGAAATTTACTGGATAATTTAAACTTTTTTAACAAATAAAAAACTGAAAAGTGGGGCGTGCAATATTATTCGGCCCCTTTACTTTCAGTGCAGCAAACTCACTCCAGAAGTTCAGTGAGGATCTTTGAATGATCCAATGTTGTCCTAAATGACTGATGATGATAAATAGAATGCACCTGTGTGTAATCAAGTCTCCGTATAAATGCACCTGCTCTTTGATAGTCTCAGGGTTCTGTTTAAAGCACAGAGAGAACCATGAAGACAAAGGAACACACCAGGCAGGTCCGAGATACTGTTGTGGAGAAGTTTAAAGCCGAATTTGGATACAAAAAGATTTCCCAAGCTTTAAACATCTCAAGGAGCACTGTGCAAGCAATTATATTGAAATGGAAAGAGTATCAAACCACTGCAAATCTACCAAGACCCGGCCGTCCCTCCAAACTTTCATCTCAAACAAGGAGAAGACTGATCAGAGATGCAGCCAAGAGGCCCATGATCACTCTGGATGAACTGCAGATAACTACAGCTGAGGTGGGAGAGTCTGTCCATAGGACAACAATCAGTCGATCACTGCACAAATCTGGCCTTTATGGATGAGTGGCAAGAAGAAAGCCATTTCTCAAAGATATCCATAAAAAGTCTCGTTTAAAGTTTGCCACAAGCCACCTGGGAGACACACCAAACATGTGGAAGAAGGTGCTCTGGTCAGATGAAACCAAAATCGAACTTTTTGGCCACAATGCAAAACGATATGTTTGGCGTAAAAGCAACAGAAGCTCATCACCCTGAACACACCATCCCCACTGTCAAACATGGTGGTGGCAGCATCATGCTTTGGGCCTGCTTTTCTTCAGCAGGGACAGGGAAGATGGCTAAAATTGATGGGCAGATGGATGGAGCCAAATACAGGACCATTCTGGAAGAAAACCTGTTGGAGTCTGCAAAAGACCTGAGACTGGGACGGAGATTTATCTTCCAACAGGACAATGATCCAAAACATAAAGCCAAATCTACAATGGAATGGTTCACAAATAGACGTATCCAGGTGTTAGAATGGCCAAGTCAAAGTCCAGACCTGAATCCAATCGAGAATCTGTGGAAAGAGCTGAAGACTGCTGTTCACAAACGCTCTCCATCCAACCTCACTGAGCTCGAGCTGTTTTGCAAGGAAGAATGGGCAAGAATTCCAGTCTCTCGATGTGCAAAACTGATAGAGACATACCCCAAGCAACTTGCAGAGCTGTAATTGCAGCAAAAGGTGGCGCTACAAAGTATTAGCGCAAGGGGGCCGAATAATATTGAACGCCCCACTTTTCAGTTTTTTATTTGTTAAAAAAGTTTAAATATCCAATAAATTTTGTTCCACTTCACGATTGTGTCCCACTTGTTGTTGAGTCTTGACAAAAAAAATATTTTTATATCTTTATGTTTGAAGCCTGAAATGTGGCAAAATGTTGAAAAGTTCAAGGGATCGAATACTTTCGCAAGGCACTGTATGTACATACAGTTTTCAAATGACTGTACAGTATACAGAGCTGTCTTGAGCATTTGCAGGTAGAGTCTCCAAGATCTGACTTTTTTGCATTGAAAACACAGAGAGAGTAAACTTTCACAATGAAAACAAGACAAAGCCATTTGACTCTTGTTCATAAACACTGGTGTCAGGACTTATTCTGATGACACAGACAGTTTAATTGACATAAAAACTTGCTTTTGAGGAATTAACTTTTCATTTTGAGAAAGTGACGCACTTTTACAGGTTATCCACGAGGTTTTACAGCTTGTACTAGTTGTTCTGAGAAATGCACTAACTGTTGTGCAAATGTTAATTGTGAAAAAGAGAAAAACTGTAAAATCACATCCCACCACACTAACATGTGTTGGAGTCTGGAAAGAGAGCATTTAAGTAGAAAGATAGATAGATAGATAGATAAATAGATAAATAGATAAATAGATGGACAGATATATAGATAGACAGACATATATATGAGATATAGATAGAGATATAGATACTTTATTGATCCCCCATAGGAAAAATGTAAGTGTCCAGCAGCAGAAAAACATCCATCCATACAACCATTAATAAATACATCATTCTAAAATGAGTTAACGATAAATCAATTACAAAAATATTAACAGATAGAATAAGGGTTGAAAGATAAGTGCTGAGTACGCATGGAAGGTGGCTGCAGTAAAAAGCTTTCAACTCTCATCGCATAACTTGACTTCATTTGCCCTACATAAGAGGCAACAAGAATCGCTGTTAGCATAATGTCCAGTGAGTTTACCGACAAATAGTTTGAGGTTGTTTTGTGCTCTCAGCAGTCTGCGGTCCATCTGTCTTGTTTCCTTGAGTTTATTTCATGCCTGAATGAGTAACATGAATGCGGCAGGTGCAGGGGCTCGCAGGCCCAGAGAGAACTCAGACGAAAAATCCTTCTCGTCCTCTTCCCCTCAGAAAATCATAGCCACTTCTTACTCTTTCCTCAGCTTTTACATATCTGCTCCCTTCGTCAATTGTCATGCTCCTCTGCTTTTACAAAGTCTATGGGGCATCTCTGCAGCGTCACCCTGATAAAACAGCAGAATTGTGGGCAAAGCATTTTTACTTTCTACACAGGATGAATAAATGTGGCCCAGCAGAATCGACTATCACTGAATCTCTCGACATGTGGCCTATATTTGATGATTTATAGTTCACGCCCTAAGCTCTATTTTACAATGTTCACCACACACAGGCTTACACATGCCGGCCCCTCCTCAAGACGAAGACTATGTTAGAATAAAAAAATAAAATGGGATGGCACGTTGGCTCAGAGGTTAGCACTCAGAAAGTCCTGGGTTTGATTCAGAATACTTTTTTAAATAGCCTTTGTAGAAAAAAAATCACAAACTAGAAATTTGCTTTGGGCAGGCATACTGTATAAAACATTAACACACTTCTAATAGATAAATACACACAAAAGACATTAAACAGTGCAGTATATCAATAAGTGACAAGCAGTGTGAGATTATAACTAGACAGAAGTCCATCTCCAGACTGGGTCTTTCTATGTGGAGTTTGCATGTGTCTGAGTATAGGTTTCCCTCGGGTGCTCCGGTTTCCTGTTCCACTATGAATATGGACAATAGCTCCCCTCTTTCAGTCGGACTTTCCTGGTTAAACAAAGCTCAATTTAAGTCGATGTAGTTAATGTTCTTGGACAGACAGAACACATATTTGGATGCGCAGCCAGTGAATAGAATTATATAATCAATATCAGAACTGATACGTCAACACCAGATACAAGAAGTGGTGTAGAACTTAAAGTCTCAGTTAGCTTAATTCTGTCTTTCGTAATATTGTAATCTAACAGCCTGGGCCCGGAAGTGCAGTGTTATAGTAATACGTCACCAAACATTTGCCTTTGCTACGGTCAGCGACATGCAGCAGGCCCAGGTAAATATGTGAACGTTGTAAAGTGACTGTGTGAAGATGTGTCTGTGAAAGCACTGTATAATTAAAATAACTCTTACGACACACTCACAGAGCAGGGAGCATTTGTCGAACAATTGGGCTTACTGTAATTGGGCAAATATATTTCAAAATAGGTTAGGTAATTGAAATGATTGATGCTTATTGTTTAATGGAAAAAGTTGTCATTATCATGTGTTTGTTGAAAAACCTGTGAGAGGTGTCACATGACATCACACTCCTCACTGTAAACCCTGACAAGTAAAGTTTACTTGAAAAAACCATGGAAATAAATTGCGTATTAACTTCACTTGAATTCCTCGAGTACATCCTTTACTTGATATTACCAAGTAACTCAAGTGATTGCAATAAAGTTTAAATTTCTGCTTGTGCTTCAACCGGAATTCGTACTCAGAACCCTGTGGTTGAGAGGCAATGGTGCTACCCACTCAGCCACCAAGCCACTCTGCCATTGTCACACCTGCCTCATTAAAGACTCTACACGTCAAAATTTCAAAAGTGAGGCTTACTTGAACAGAAAGTTCAATTCAAAGAAAACCCTGAGTGACATAGGCAAGCTTTAAATAAACTAAAAATAAATAAGTAATATTCACTTACTGGGAAAAATCTATTTAAAATAACTTTGATATCTGAAATACAATTGAAGTTAGGATTTACAGTGCTATAAGGCACAGAACTGAAGTCATAGTTTTGATCATAAATATCCTTTTGGTTTTTGATTAAAGTTGAATTTTAGACTGGTGGGCTCTATGTCACCCGCTTCACTCCGGAGTCCAGTCCTCCTCCCACATGAACTTTTTAAATGTACTGATATAAAGTAAATCTATAGTTGCACACAATGTACAACTACTTACATGGCAATGTTGTTACATTTTATATTCTTTTGATCCAAAGTCCCACACAAGTGTGCTGCTCACCAGACTGAATTTAACCAAGCATCTTACTATATCAGCTTCAACTCGAGCCACAACTCTCCTCCTCCCCATCACTAACTCAATAGTGGGACCACATCCTCGGATCATCACTTTCACCACCGAGGACTAGGCCCCAGGGATGTTCATATCTCTGAATCCCTTCTCACATACAACGCATATCTGTCTATCTATATCTCAAGTACTATACATGAACAGTCCAAGCACAAAACCATACCCTACATGCAACATGCCACGTATACCAGCATATTCAGATAAACATGATTCAACTATTCTACATGCCTGCCAGTGCCAATCAACCAGCAGCGACCAATTCACTTCATGCAAATGTCACTCAATAAACATCATTCCAATACATTCTTTCTCCAGATAGAATCACTATCATACTCAGTACAATGATCAAGCACACACTGCAGAGGTTTCCCCTCAGCCTCTGTCCAGATGATGTGACCGGAGTGCACTGCACCCTGGGCCCTGGATAGAGCTGGATGAGCACAGATCAGATTAGTGTGTCCCCCGGAAGCTTGATGTAAATTTTAGGAGAGATGACAGCTGCATTTGTGCCTTTGAGCCAATTCTAAACTGCACTAGGACAGGAACTCTTTCACAAGATATGTACATTTTAGGAAAATTATTTTGTATAAATGTTAGTAAATGTTTAAGTGAACATTTTAGCACACGTTTGAGCACATTAAGGATGTTTAACCGGTTTGCAACTCTGCCAAAATAAATTAAATACGAGGCACAGACACGTATCGCACACAAAAACACAACAATTCTGGACATAGACAATCGTGGACTGTAGTTGTACAATAACTGTCTCGTCTTTTCAAAGCTCCTTTCGCCCGATTGCACATGTAATAGTCCAGTAATAGCGGTCATAATCTCCTTAACTTTGTCTGTGGTGGCGCAGACACGCGCACACGCACGGAGCGATGAAGTCACTGTGTATGACCATAGATGACACACCGCTGGCTCTGCGCGGCTCTGGGTTCTCACAAACACACAGGTCTCAATCATCTGCTACTTATAGATCCGCGCCGACATGGCCGCTAATAGCCCGGGCCAGAGCGCTGTTGTTTCCCGCATTGGGCTGGTCTGGAGTCGGGAGTCAGGAGTCGGGCCGGGGCTGAACTGGAGCTCGGGCAGACAGTCTGGGATCAGGGACCTACCTTCTGCTGTGAGCGCCGCGATCACACTCCCATGCATCGAACACGCAGAGGAACCACTCAGTCAGAACCACAGACGTCCTGAAAGCCGACCAGGACCACTGTCACAGCCCCGCTGCCTCTGTGTACGCGTCTACGTGTGTGTAAATGTGTGTGTGTCGTCCGCTCCGGGAGAGAGGCGCAAGCAGACAGCCAACTGTGGTGACGTCATCACGCACGATCAACGCTCTCTCAAAGTTATATTTACATAGTTTATATTTATTTATATTTATATAGTTTTATCTATAATGATAATGATCATACTTATATTGTTGTCATTATCAACCATCATCACCATCATCATCATTAACAATAATGACGTCAATAATAATCAACAATTTTCACCATCAGGATAAGGTCATGAGCGGTGGGTTAAAGCTCAGTTTCAGACTCCTCCTGGGTGTTTTGTGAATGTCCCGCCGGGAGGAGACTTCAGCTGGAGGCAGTGTGGAGAGGGTAGTTGGGCATCTCTGCTCAGACCACTGCCCACACTGTCCAGAAACAGATCAAGAGGACATTATAGGTTTAAGGACACATTATAATCAACATTGTTATAATAAAAAACAATATAGTTATAATCATTGTGTGTGAAGGGAAATTCATATAGCATTGAATCAAAGCATATAATGCAAATATAGCCTAAAATATAGGCCTATTTATTGATTGATGTCCCAAAAAAGTTTTTTTAATCTACAAAGCATACAATACTATGTATGGAAGCCCGTTTCCGCCATGTAAAAAAAAAAAAGCCTACAGAAAGTCAAAATTTTGACTTTTAAAAGTCGAAATTTTGACTTTTAAAGTCGTAATTTTGACTTTTGAAGTCGAAATTTTGACTTTTAAAGTCGAAATTTTGACTTTTAAAGTCAAAATTTTGACTTTCTGTAGGCTTTTTTTTTTTTTTTTACATGGCGGAAACGGGCTTCCATACAATACAATTCAAATCCCAAATACATTTGATGTGATGTAATATCTATATTGTTGCTGAACAAATAATATGATATTTAGGGCATGGCTCTTTCAGCTATTGCTTTGCTATTTAAATTAAAAAAAATAATCTGATAAGGCATCCTTACTTCTGTGATAGTAAACAAAAAACTTTCACTTACAGCTCTAAACAACTCACATAAGAATTACAACAAAAATGTCAAGTAATAGTGTTATTAAGGCATCTTCATGAGATAAATAGTTTTTTGCAGTAGAAAACATACACATTTCATTCAAATGTAGTTTCATATAAAAAAATAAAAAAATAACCCCAATCAATGGTTTTGTATGTGTATACATGTATCCACATGTACTCATAATGCACTTTGTTCTTATATTGCACAGTAGCAAAAACAGATGCTACAATCCTTACATTTGGACGACAGGTGGCGCAGTGAGTTGCTTTGGTCTTTGGTCCACATTGAATCACTGTGCATTGGTCATATTTCACATTCATGTAAAAATAAACTAGTGCTTCTGTCACATGTCTCATTCACATCTGCACTTCACTCAGTCACACACTACAACACACTCATACCAAACATTCACATAAAACATTTAATTGGACTAAAATATATTAAAATATGTCGTCTTGTCTCTTTGGTGCGTTGTAAAACTGTTTCACTCCACTGTGACAGACTTGGCCAAGTTTCTGGGACAGTCCACCTGCCAGGGACAAGACATGTGTTAGGACTGGCATGCTTTTCATATATATAACAATTATTATACTTCTATTATAGTTACAACATGACTATTCACGTATCCATATACATGGTAATGGTGATTGAGTAGATGTGTTGGGTTTGGGACTTCTAAGAATACATTTTTAACCTTTGGTATTTTGTGGCAATATTATATTTAAAATGAATTTGAGCACTGTGTGAAGCCCAAACCCTTTTCTCTTATGCACAGTTCAATTCACTTTTGCACGATGAAATGACTTGAATATTATGTAAAATATGATTCAAAAGAATTTGTAAATGATTTCTGAGCGCAGCGCTTGTGCGTGTAATAGAACACATGTTTAATTGTTGGAACAATAATGAGGTAATAATTGTTGATATAAATAATAAGGTTCTCACGTCGTATCCTCGGAGCACGGCCAAGTGGAAGGACAGCAGCTGCAGGGGGATGACGCTGAGGATGGCCTGCAGACAGTCCACTGTTTGGGGCAGAGCGATCGTCTGGTACGCACTTTTAGTTATCTCAGGGTCGTCTTGGCAACAAATGATAATAGGCCGGCCCTGTAACACAGTTCTGAGCGTTAAAACATGATCATAAAAACAGCAGCTGATTGCACGAGCAAAGGAACTCACCGATCTGGCAGCCACCTGCTGCAGAGCATTCTGACACTTAGTGTAGCATCCGTCTTTCATGATGATCATGATCACTGGCATGTCTTTGTCCACCAGAGCCAGGGGCCCGTGCTTCAGCTCCCCGGCCAGGATCCCCTCAGAGTGCATGTACGTGATCTCTTTGATTTTCTACATAAAGAAGAACTGTGTCACTTTCAAATATCAAAGTATTGATTGGGCGATGTTCACCACCGCACTCACCAGTGCCCCTTCCAAACATGTGGCGTAGTTAAAGCCCCGTCCCATGACCAGCAGAGACTTCTGCTCATACAGCTCGTTGGCAATGGTCTTAATGCCGTCGTCCAAAAGCAACACCTTCTTGATTAGGTCTGAAATCCAAACATAACTTTATTGCCATCCTTGCAAACATTGTGATGTCACGTTTACAGGATGAGACATCAGTCCTGCTGACCTGGTAAATCCTTGAGGCCCGCCATGATATCAAGTCGTCTCTTCTGGAGCGAGAGTCTGTCCTCACTCATCATGAGGCCGAACATGATGAGAGCCACAAACTGACTGGTGTACGCCTGAAACACAACACTCAGTAAACACGCACTCTTCAGCTCATGAGCTGTGCTTTGCTCATGGCGAGTCTCCTACCTTGGTGCTGGCAACTCCAATCTCAGGGCCTGCATTGATGTGCACGCCACAGGCGGTCTCTCTGCAGATGGTGCTGCCCACTGTATTCGTGACGCCCACCGTCAGGGCTCCTCGCTCCTTACAATAACGCAGCGCCATCAGAGTATCCGCCGTCTCTCCTGACATCACACATCACACACATCTGAGACAAGGACATGAGTACACACAGTACACACAGTACGCAGAGGACACACAGTACACAGAGTACATACAACACATACAGCACACACAGGAATTTCAAATCAACTTTTTAGGTAAATTGATAGTTCTTGAGTGGACAATATAAGAAAGTACAGAAAAGGCTTTAGGCTTTATTTAAAGCAGCATGGTCTTACCATGCCACATCGTACTCATTCTATTTTGTAGGGAGATAAAAATTGACCAGATTTTACGGATGGCTAAGGCCAGGCTATATTTAAATGGGTGTTTTTTAAAAGTTAGTATATGATACTAATAAACTAATATATATCACACTAATGTTGGGAAGGTTAGCACAATCCCCATCTGTTGAAATACCTATCTCAGCTTGGTACATAAATCTATTTTTTTTTTTCTTGTTTAAAACAAAAGCATTGGATCAAAATGTGCCAAGTTCAGAACTATGTAATTTAATTTGTAGAATCCTTTCTTTTTGTGTGTGTCTCTATTCATGCACTGGTGTTATCAAAGACCATGTTCAGCTTTGTGTCACCTGACTGGCTGATGAAAAAGCAAACATCATCTCGGAAAACAGGTGTGATCCGGTCAAGGAAGTCACTCGCCAGCTCCACCATCACCGGCAACTCTGTCAACTCCTCCAGGATCTGCCGAGTCTGAACAGTAAACAGAAGGTTGAACAAAGACTTATCACTGTTTGCATGTGAATAAGCAGTTCTTAATCATTACAAGCCAGTTTACTTACAGCCAGGGCAGCATGAAAACTAGTCCCACAACCAATCATTATGAGTCGCCTGCAACGTTTGATCTCTTTCAAATGATCCTTCAGTCCGCCCAGCACCACTGCAGAACAACACCACATGCATCAAACTATTATGTGGCTTTGTCAACACGTGGAACAGCCATTTAAATCTGTATGCATAAGGAGTGACATTTCTCCACTGTGCTTTTGCAGAAAAAAATGCTCACCATTGTTGGAGTCAAAACAGATTCTCCCCCGCATGGTGTTGACCACAGACTCGGGTTGTTCGAATATCTCCTTTTGCATGAAGGCCTCAAAGTTCCCTGCGTAAAAGAGGTTTGAAGAACTTTTTACTATGTTCACACGGTGCAGGTCACTACCTAGTTCCACCAGCAGAGGGCCACAATGCATCTATGTAAAAACTAGTAATGGGTGGGAAGAAAAACACCCACAAGTTGATCAACAATGAACAATGAAGACACTAGACAAAAACTCATTGAACCGCAGTTAAAAGTTAAGTGAGCTCTGTTTAGTGACCTTCCTGTAGCTCAGAAAATAAACTTTAAAGCAGCTTGTGTCTCTCCTTGGCCAAAGTACATCTGTGACAAGTTAGTGACATATGAACCAATTCGGACTCTGGAGCACAGGGACTGGCCTCCTGCTGGGACTCTGAGGAGCACAGGGACTGGTCTCCTGCTGGTGCCCAGAGTCAGAACTAAACAAGGGGAGGCAAAATTTCAGATTTATCAGGAACATTCTTCCTGAAAATGTTAACCAGGCTTCTACTCTGATAATGTTCAAATCAAGGTAAAAACAGTTGTGTTTAGCTGTGCATACAACTGAAGGAAAGTATCTACACTCTTTTTAATGTACTGTGGTTACTTATGATTTTAATTCCTTGTATTTAAATGTTTCTTTTCTTGTTTAGCAACCTGAGTTTCCTTGTGTTTGAATAGTGCTATACAAATAAACTTGGCTTGCCTTGTTTTAATTAGCTTTGTCATTTTAATTCCCTGGAATAAACCAAGCAGATTTATGACCTATTAAAGTTACTGTTACCGTGCGACGTAAATTCCCTTTTGACGAGACACATTAGCCAGAGTGTCTATCTCTCATTTGCACTTCCTCCATGCCATCATTCATCCGATAATCTCTTTATTTCTCGCTCACATTTACTCAGGTTTTCCCATGACTGCGGAGGAGGATGATTTGGTTGGAGCCAATTTCCTTGTAAGAGTATTTCTCGAGAAGGCGTTAGCTTTGTGGCATAACAGGGGCAGACGTTTAAGATGGCGTCTGATTGGTTGACCCTAAATCGGCGCATACAGATATTATACAAAGGCAACATCACCTGTCAATTGTTGGTGAATCTGTCAAACTTGTATATCCTCTGTGTGATATCATCAGTTCTAGAAATCTGCTTTACTTCCTGGAAAAGTCAACCTCTTTTCTTACTGTGTATGTATTAAAAACTGAGGATGTGAATGTAACCGTATCATTTTTGTTCAAACAGGTGTCATTCCATCAAAAAAAGTCCAAATTAAAATCAGGTGAAACTCAGAAAATTAGAATATTGTTCATAAGTATATTTATGTCTGTGATTCAACTTAAAATGTGACACCGATATATTATGAAGCACAAAGTGACATATGCCCAGCCTTTGTTTGTTATAATGTCAATGATTATGGCTTACAGTATATTTTACGAAATGTTTTATGAGGGGTTTTTACAAGCCGTGCCAATTATCAACTAATTAAAACTTGATATTACTCACTTTGTGTAAAATAGAAAATAATAATACATCAGTTTTATACATTTTATACTCTTTTTGGACTCTCAAGTACACTTAACACGTCGCCAACCAGATCGAGCCATCTGCCCCTCGGCCCACTAACTATTCAGGCACACACCAGAAAATGCTAGGCAATGTGGGTGAAGTGTCTTGCCTAAGGACACAATGACAGTTTGGCACTATACAGCTGCATCCGCCCTGCTGTGGCACATGGTGTTCCCAGAAGTCCCCCATCACAGTGCAAACCAGGCACTGCCCTGCACAGCTTCAGAAGTCTGACAGGACCTGACGTTCACATACAGGTGGCGCCACAGACATTTACTTAATACTATCCTAGTTTCACCTGTATGTATTTATATATTTTACTTATTGTGATTGTAGAATTCTCACTCAAGTGAATCCTGTGAACACTGAGCAGAGTGTGGGCGTGTCAGACCTTTCATAATGTGCTGTAGCTCTATCTGCAGGGTCTGGATGGCTCGCACCGGGTCCTCTCCGGCCTGACGGTTCACTCTGTGGATGGACAGCACTCCTTTGGTCACCACGGCGACGTCATCATCCTCCAGGTACAGCACTTTATTGGTGTGTTCGATTATGGCGCTGTTGATCCACGGCAAACATTTCAGTGCTTACTCAGTGATAAGAAGTTTTAATGAATGAGATAAGTGTGGTTGTACCTGGCATCAGACGCAAAGAAGTACTCCACTTCTTTGACCTCCTGTGTGGCATCATCAGGACTGTTGTGCTGGTTTTTCTCTTTTTCTCCATCTTTCAAGTGCCCTGTACATGTCAAGGAGAACCGGAATTGTTATTATGATATATACCTAAATACATATATTTGAGTGACATTGAACATTCCAGTTGTCGGTTAAATACAACTTGTAAAAACAGCTGAATCACCGTCTCCGAGGACTTTACAAAACAGTAGAATTCGCCAACACAGATCAGAGAATCAAACGGGTCAAACACAAGAAATGAAACAGAAATCACGTTGGTATTGATCTATAAGTGTTGACAAATATCCATAAATGTTGTTGATTGAAGCTGTGTTACCTAACTTTTTCATGAATCACACATATTGTTCATCCGAAAAGAAAGAGCCTTCAAAAAGTCAAACATCGTGAACCAATCAGACCTAGGGCTGAGAGCTGATTGGCTGAGTGAGGGCGGTCCTCTCTTTGTCTGAAAAGATGGATCTAAAGATGCAACAGAGGCCATAACACATGCAAATAAAAAAATAACCAAATTGTCCTGAGTGCGTGGAACAAGCAAGTTAGAAAGATTTTGTTCCATAGTTTCATTATGTGAGGTCAGACAGTTAGGGACCCCAGCTTTAGGATTAAAAAGGCTTTGAATGAAGGCTTGTGTCATAAATCGGCAAAACATTACAAATTCAAACATACACATTACATTAGGGAGGACCTTTCTCAACATCGGGAGATCACTCGGCTTCTTTTGTCCAGAAAACTATTTAAATTCAAGAGAAAAAAGGAGTAAAGCTGCTGTTCTGTGACTAAAACAAGGGCCTCGAATTGACACTTTTCCTTCAGAATACAGTCCCACACAGAGTATATGAGCTGCCTCACCCCACCTTGGACTTTGCCCTAGTTCCAAATGAACAAAAACCATAAACAGGCAACAATCCGATAAGACGATAAAGGTCTCGGTAGAATGCACTGTGCGTACGAGAAACAGGGAAGACAAAAGTAGCCTTCATGTAAGAGATATGAGAATTTAACTTTGGCTCCAAAATGAGCTGGGATTAATTGTTTAAGACGCAGCTCTTTGGGAATTAACTATTAAAAGTAATAATTGTCTGCTACTGTAAAAGATATAAGGTTTAACTGATACATTTTTCTATTCTAATGAAAGCTGAGCTAAGGTGTGGCTTATTTTGTGGATTTATGTTGTTCTTGTTCATATCCATTTATTGATTGATTAAGATTCTTTATTCGTCCCACAGTGGGTGAAATTTCAATGTTGCGTCACAAGTTTCAAAGCAGTAAGAATTAAGAGAAAACAACACAGCACAAGATACTATAAGAATATATTAAGTTTAGAACCTATTTGTGATATCTTGAAATTATGTTGAATGTTGTTTTTTTGACTGTTTTTATTGACGTATTATTATTATTTAATATATATTCTGGTGCAAAGAGATATTTACTTGTATGTATCCATCTGTAAATAATTATTTAATACACACTAGTGCAAGAATATTGAAGTAAGAAGTGAAACTCTTCAAGAGTATGAATGAGTTGTTGTTTTCAGACCAAAAATTCAACATAACATGTTCTGCACTTATCGTTTTTAAAAGGTTAGGCCTAGATACTTAAAAAGGTCAGGTGGTAAGCACACCTCAGGTAGCTCATCTGGCCAAACAAGTTTTCAAACTTATAATGATAATTATTTTCCGGGACATTGCAGCTCTATTATTGAAATACTATTATACTATGTTTCCAAACAGATCAGATGTCAACTTTTGACGTTAGACTTTAAAGTGTTCTTTTGAATGCGCTGGAAAACGGCTGGAAGTCCTAAGTAGCTCTGAAACTGTTGTTGTTTTGTGGTTTAATATATTTTTTTTTTCTTGCTTTTTTCTACCTGAGATGTTGCTGCAGTACAGTGTTCATGGTTTTGCACTGGTCCAGACCGGAGCAGAGAGGATTCATGGTCCGAACCAAGTGGATCAGCCGAAAATCCACTGGAGGAATGCTAACTTTTTGAAAAATGCTAATGAAGCATTTTGCGTTTTACTTTGGACTAGAGCAGAGAAAATGGTCCGACCAAGCGGCTACTCCATCTCTGCTGCTGTGACCCGTCCTTCTCCACGCAGCGGCTGCTCCACCTCTGCTGCTGTGACCCACCCTGCTCCACCCAGAGGCTACTCCACCTCTGCTGCTGTGACCTGAAGGGCTGTTGCTGATAATTACTATTGCTATCTTTTTAGAAGGATCAATTTTATTTTTTTATTTTTGCTACTACTGGACACCTGAATTTCTCCTATGGGGATCAATAAAATATCTATCTATCTATCTATCTATCTGCTGTTCTCCATGGTGAACAGCCGCACTATAGTCCATTTAGACAAATAATAGGTCAATGGTTTTATTAGAATGACAAATACAGTGAATAAGAGGAAAATGCATAATGCTGTTTAATTCACTGAGTAATAAATCTGTTGCCATGGTGATTTCCAAAAAAGGTGGAGAAAAATGTTTTAAGAAATTAATCAAATATAGATGAATAAAAGGATGTTATACCTGATTACACCAATAATTTACACACACACACCCTCACCCTCACCCTCACCCACACACACACACACACACACACACACACACCAAGCGCTTTCAGAAAGGGAGAGGGGCACACTCACCTGAGCCGTACATGACATGGATGTTGTTTAGGATCTCCTGGTCACTGCGCACCCCAATGAGCAGCGGACTCCCCCTTCTGCAGAGACCACACACACATCAGCAACAATGTGCCAGTTCTGGGTGTTTGGCAGCACTAAACAACAATTTTTTTTTTTTTACTAATAATGGAATTGTGTTTTTATGACTTTTGTATCATTAACACAACCAGGCACAGAAGTTGAGGATTAGCAACTGCATCTTTCTCAAACAAAACAAATAGATAAATAAATAGAATGGTAGCAATTCCCTGTATGGTTTCATAGATGTAAAATGTTGACCTTTAAAAGAAACATGTTATGCAAAAAAATAAGCTTTTTGGAGCTTTTAAACATGTTATAACTTTGGTCCTTTAACAAAAACAGACTTGGAGCAGTTTTTAGATCCATCCAAACGACAATCAGGCACAGACATAACACTACTCCTCCCCTTCTGTCTGAAAGCTCCTGTCTCAGTCTTTGTACCATAACACCTAGAGCAGGTTTCTGCCTTTCAAATCAAAAGTATTGCCCATTAATTAGTTCTGGGCATTTTTGAGGTGAAATGGCATTCTTCACAATCACATGGTTGTGCTTGCAGGTAATTTACAAATTTGAAAAAGGGAAAAACAACTGGTGGTAGCACAGGGAACTACCAGCATTACTCTTCATGCTTGTTATTTTCTACTTTAGGTAATTATTCATAGTAATAAAACATGAAATGGCAAAGCGTATATATCTATGGTCATAAAAATAAGAGACAATATCTAATCTAATCTAAATAAAATTTCTTCTTTTAGAGACTACAACAATAGTTCCATCCATGACCCTTCGCGACCCTTGCCACTTCTATCCCCACTGTTCAATCCAAATCAGCACAAAACCATAGAATGAAACGAACAAAAAGTGAAATGAAAATATGGCCAATGAGCGGACGTGGCCACTATTGATTTGCTCCCATCACGCAGCGAAGAACCACAGCGAGTGCAGTAACATGAGAGCGCTCATCAGACAAACAAATAAATCCTTGTTGCCCATTACATGCAGCTCTTCACCAAATCATTTGCTTTCAGTTTCCATTCACCTACAGTATTGGCTTGGGGCTGGCACAAACAAGGCCTTTGACATTACTGGGTTTATATATTTATCGAGTCCATCTCAACGTTAATGCCAAACCACACATTCATATTATTCCTGATACTGTATCAAACTGACCTTTGCATCACAGTTTCCTGAACTGGGTCTACTTCCTTGCTGGCAACAGTAGCTAGGCTTGTATTGTTTTATGATAAAGCTTTACACAACTGTCTACCAAGTCACAATCTGGTGAATAGACATTTCTAATCAAGGGTGTAAAACTCATTTTGGTCAGGAAGAATAGAAGAGATTGATCTTTTTCTTATATATATATTTTTTTTTACATTATGAAGGAATTTTGACGTGATTTTTTTCATGACATTAAAAAGTTTATGTTTTGCTGTTACTTTCTGGTGGATTTTTCTGAAAACAAAATGTGTAAATTGAATAGATTTAACCAAAACTGGACCAAATATTGTTTTATATTTAGCAGTTGAGTTACATGTTTAGAGTAAAAGTAATTTGGTTGATTTTCTGAGAACATAGATGATGTATGACAGGCCTTTGAAGCCCAATACCATCATAAGTAAATAACAATAATCCTCATGAAATCATTAAATCTTCATTCCTGTTTTGATTAATGTACAATAAAGTAATCAAGTGGAGCAATTTCTTCAAGAATACATTGTCGGTTCACTGAGCCCCAAACAATTGGATCTCACAATGATCCTGTTCCATTCTTGTCCATAATGTCTCTCTCCCTGATTTATCTGAGCTGCGCTGACGTAAGAAGGGCCGTTGTTTTAATGGGTGTGGGGCTCGAGAACTAAGCCTGCAAACAGAAACATGTGGTTGCTCTCCAAAACAATTACCCACAGGGACTGAGGCAACGTTGGCAAGAACTGGAGAGAAAACTAAATCAAAGGGAAGAGAGAGGGAAGAGAGAAAGTCAAATGTGGAGCAAGAAGCAACACTCTCTGAGCAGTCAATTTGACGGCTTAATGCGTAATGACTTTTCTGTTTCATTATGTAATTTATTCTATGTCATTATTTTTATGGGATTATCTTTTAATTTTGAAATGGAGTAGAGAAGTAGAGAAGAGCAAGCACTAGTAACCATAGCAACATACTGTTAGCTTGCTTCCAGTTAGCATTAGCAAAAACAATCAACAAACTGTTTTTTTTATGTATTTCAAGTTAGATTCACCAGTTGTTAAGAGTGAGTAAATGTAAATTTGAATAAAACTACTGGTAAACTCACTGACTTTTCAGAATTCCAATGATTTTAACGGAGCAGTCTAAACCCTGGTTCACTGCTAAACTCCGGCAGCTCAGGAAAGCAAAGGAGTCTGCTTTCAGGGAGGGGGACCGCAGCGGCTACAAAGCAGCTAAATATCAGTTCAGGAGAGAACTGAAAGCAGCCAAGTCCCGGCACAGAGAACGACTACAGGAGCAGTTTGGTAACAACGATACTGCTTCTGTCTGGAGGGGCCTACGGGAGATCACCAACTACAAACCCAAAGCCCCCCCCTGTGCTGACGACCACAAGCTAGCTGACGATCGGAACTTATTTTTCAGTCGCTTTGATGCTGCCCCTGACACCTCTCCCTCCCCCACCCCCCACTACTCTAACGACCCACCCATCAGCCCTGCCCCCAGCCTAACAATAGCCGCTAAAGAGATTAAACAACTCTTCCTGAGGCTGCACCCCCGCAAAGCTCCAGGCCCAGACCACGTGTCTCCGGCCACTCTGAGACACTGCGCCAGTGAGCTTACTCCTGTGTTCACTGACATTTTCAACACCTCTCTGCAGTCCTGCCATGTCCCGGCCTGCTTCAAATCTTCCATCATTGTCCCCGTCCCGAAGAAGCCCAGGATCACAGGACTCAATGACTACAGACCTGTAGCACTTACGTCTGTCGTCATGAAGTCATTTGAACGCCTGGTTCTCTCCCATCTCAAGTCCCTCACCTCCCCCCTCCTGGACCCCCTGCAGTTCGCCTACAGAGCCAACAGATCTGTAGACGACGCCATTAACCTGGCCCTCCACCACATCCTACAGCACCTGGACTCCCCGGGGACCTACGCCAGGGTCCTGTTCGTGGACTTCAGCTCTGCCTTCAACACAATCCTGCCATCCCTGCTCCAGGACAAGCTCTCCCAGCTCAACGTGCCCGATTCAACCTGCAGGTGGATCACTGACTTCCTGACAGACAGGAAGCAACGAGTGCGTCTGGGGAAGAATGTCTCGGACTCTCGGATTATAAATACAGGAGCCCCACAGGGCTGTGTTCTTTCTCCCCTGCTCTTCTCCCTGTACACCAACCACTGCACCTCCAGTCACGACTCCGTGAAGCTGATCAAGTTCGCGGACGACACCACCCTCATTGGACTCATCTCCAACAACGATGAGTCCGCCTACAGGAGGGAGGTGGACCGGCTGGTGTCCTGGTGCAGTGGTAACAACCTGGAGCTGAACGCCCAGAAGACAGTGGAGATGATTGTGGACTTCAGGAAGAGCACTGTCCCCCCACCCCCACCCTCCGTGATGGACTCCCCCATCACCTCTGTGGAGTCCTTCCGTTTCCTGGGCACCACCATCACCCAGGACCTCAAGTGGGAGCCGACCATCAGCTCCCTCATCAAGAAGGCCCAGCAGAGGATGTACTTCCTGCGGCAGCTCAGGAAAGCCAAGCTGCCTGCACAGATGTTGGTGCAGTTCTACACGGCCATCATCGAGTCCATCCTCACCTCCTCCGTCACCGTGTGGTTCGCTGGAGCCACAGTCAGGGACAAACAGAGACTACAGCGCATTGTGCGCTCTGCAGAGGAAGTGATCGGCCGCAGCCTTCCATCGCTGCAGGACCTGTACGTCGCCCGAGCTCGAGGCCGGGCTGGTCGTATCACAGCCGACCCCTCTCACCCTGCACATGGACTATTCCAACCACTCCCCTCAGGCAGGAGGCTGCGGTCCATCAGGACTAGAACCTCCCGCCACAAGAACAGTTTCTTCCCCTCTGCTGTTGGACTCTTGAACACTTCTTAACCTGTCCCCCCGCCCTTTATAAAGTCACTTTACTGCCCATCATACGTCACTTTACTTCACTGTACTGCTGTCACCTTACATTGTGTGCACCATGTGCACTTGTATATTGTAAATAGTAACTGTAACTCTATTTTAAATTTAAATTTATTCTTTAGAAGTGTTTTTTATTCTTATTTTTATTATCTCTTTTTGACTGTTGCACTGAGCCAAAGCAATTTCCTAGTCTGTGACCTCCTGTTACTTACGTGGCAATAAAAATGATTCTGATTCTGATTCTGAAAATGATGGCTCGATCTGGGAGTTTCAAAAGTTTCAGAAGTTTCAAAATTCTGAGAGTCCTAGTGTGAAGGTGTTGTATGCTAGTCTTTGTTAGGCGCGCTATCTGATCATGTTTCCAATCCCTGTCTGTACAACTGTGGGAATCCTCACAAAGAAGTCAAGCTTTATGATCATATCGGTTCAAAGTGATGTAAACTTAAAGCTGAGGTACCTAACTTTCTTCGTGAGCAATTCAAACAACAGCATGTTGTTTATTGTGTTTTTCTTTTGCAGCCATGTGAGTCACTATCTGGTGCTTTGGGGCTAAGGCCCCGTCTACACGTAGCAGGGTATCTCACAAACCGAAGATATTTTCCTACGATCTGGCCTATCATCCACACAAACCCGGAGTTTTCTGTCGATAAAAACGAAGGTTTCTGAAAACTCCGGCCAAAGTGAAGATTTGGGAATTCTCCGGTTATGCGTTTGAGTGTGGACATAAATAACCGGAGTATTCGGCTGTACGTCACTACCAGCGTGCTGCTCTGACGTCACACGCGCGACCTGTGTTTACATCAGAAACAACATGGAGGCCATCAAAACCGCTTTTGTTTTAACGATTGTTCAGGCACTTTTTGCTTGCTTGTTTTTACAAGCTCAAATACTGCTTCATGTTGAAGAGCACAGACGAAGGAGCACTTTAAGGTCGGCTATTTTCCGCCAAATAACCATCCCTCGTCCAAGACATGTTCCTCGTCAAAGACGGCAACGGCAATTTTGGGTCAGACCGGGACGCACTGCCAGCTGGTGGGAGAACTTTGAGATGGAAGTCGTCCTCCCGGAGGAAGGTAGGTTTGTAGGTTTGAAATGTAATTGACAACGCATGTATGCGGTTAGGTGTGGATGCCGTTTTTTAAAAAACCGAGGCTGTGTGGACAGAAGTTTTTTTTTAGGCGGAGGGCGGATTTATAAATGCCCTGCTACGTGTAGACAGGGCCTAAGAGCTGATTGGCTATGAGCTCATTGTCTGATTGGCTGACATTGTAAGGAAAAATTGCTTTTCAAGATGGAAAAATTACACAGTTCTTCTCAATGAAAACCAGGACATAGGTTGATATTCAGATATTCAAGTTTCAGGCAACTTTTGAGGAGTTTTAAGTTAAATTAAGTTATACTTTATTTACCCTCATTTGACCCATACTTGAATGCCACTGTATAGGGCCTCTAACAGCAGCAATGGTTGCATACAGAACCCTGGGCCCATCTCTAGATGCTCATGTTCAACAGCTGGAGGTTACTACCTATTGTACATATTTTTGGTGAAACCGGAGCACTTGGAGGAACTTTACACAGACACCGGAAGAACATGCAAATTCCACTCAGAAAGGCACTGTCCTGACCCAGGTTTCAAACCCAGGACCTTCTTCCAGTGTGGGTGCTCACCGCTTTTGCCTAAATACAAAATAAATATAAAGTAAAATGTTGTTTACGAAACACTTGAGTTTTAGTTTTTCATAAATCTAAAATCCATGGACAAAAAAACTGTAAAACTAAAGACTGATTGAGCCAACTGACTTTATGATGCTTGTTTAAGCCTAAACTTAATTGATAATTGAAGACATGTGACGCTGTGAAGGACACGCACGTTCATGTCCAACTCATCTGGCAGGAATGTTGAAATGACCTGTGCTCTCGTCAGATGCGTCCGAAATGTACCACAAAATGACGATATACAAGAGTTTCTTCATAGCAGCAACACGGATGATTCATTCCCAGTGGGACTAAAGCCCAAACCCAGTAAAGTATGAGGACACTAACCTGGTGGACACGGCCTCTCCGGGGAAGTGCCGACTTTTAAACACCAAGGCAAACGCTCCTTCCTGAAAAACATAGTGACTGAGTAAACATAAGGATTAAGTTAACACTGAGAAAACGATCTGCCTTGAGTCTCATGCTGTAATGTAGAGCAGACAAACAAACATTGCATCTGTGGGCTGGTCCTGTGGCCTCTGGCAGCGGTGGAGTGGGTGTGGGTGCAGTCAGTATGTGGGGGGCTTAAATAAGACTGCTATTGTACAACATCAGCTGTGTTTCAAAAGACCCAAGAGGAACGACGCTGCCTGTGGCGGCTCTGGGACGGGGTGAAGAAGTAAGAGTTTATGTTGGGACAGAGGCTGGACTAAAGATGTGTCTATGTAGTTACGTACAGTAGATCTTCCAATTAAAGGCAACCGTACACCAAGCTCAAAGAAGGCTCACCCAGTGTGTGTGGAACTTTTGGTAACCCATAGCAATTGAAAAAATGATTTGTTAGGCTAAAGATATATATTAAGTATTAAAGTGAATGTCATTTACTTTAAAAACTGCAAAAAGTAGACCCGTCCATGCTCACCCCTGTAGCCTGATGATTGGTCGAAATCAACTCAAATCCGAGTTTTGCTAACTGAATTACAGATGATGGGGAGCAACCTTCCTTTGTCTTAAGACCCCATGTCATTGGTCAACTATTCTCCTCCAGCAAGTCTTAATGGCTGTAATTATGCCAATGGGAGAGAATATTCAAAACATATAGTTGTTGGAAACTACTTGCAGTACATAATAGTACAGTGTCCCACGGTAAGATATTCATCATTTTAAAAATGAAATGCAATTTATGTTGCTGACATCACCTTTAAGAGGTGTACTTGACAGGATTGTTTAAATCCTTGTCTTCTGGCACCCTAAACAGCTCAAGCGGGTCTCTGCCTCCGGTGGCATCAGCCCCTGTTATCCCCGGCTCTATCCACTCTCTACATCAGTGGTGTCAAACTCATTTTGGTCAGGAGCCAAATATCAAAAATAGGAACTGTTCACGGGGCGAAAGAATAGAAGGAATTTCCTTTTCTCATAATTGTTTATTTTTTTACATTATGACGGAATTTTGATGTGACTTTTTTCATGACACTTAAAAGTTTATGTTTTTTGCTATTACTTTCTGGTTGCTTTTTCTGAAAACAAAATGTATTAATTGTTTAGAATTAACCAAAACTGGACCAAACATTATTCTACATTTAACTTCTAATGATGTGTTGGGTTATAATTTTAGAATTAATTCAATTTGGTTGCTTTCCTTCAAACATAGATGATGTATGACAAGCCTTGGTAGCACATTACCATCAATGCTGCAGGTTAATAATAATAATAATAATTGAAAATAGGGGCCACAAAAGGGTCTTTCCTTTTGATTTTGCATTTGAATTTGAATCATTATTATTATTTCAATGGTTATTTCAAACAAGTGTACAATAAAAAGCTGCTGCAGTGATTACACCGGAATGAGCTTTCATTTGTGTCAGGCAGGACAAAGACAACTTGTCACTTTATCTTATATTTATTCTGTCCATATAGATACAGTTTGTGGTGGTTTGTACAAAAACACTCGTACCCATTGTAAATATTTGTCTGCGACCTTCTGCTATATCCGCGGTGTGTAGTTATGTTGTTAAGGGTACTTATATTATTATTGTTATAGTCTTAAAGTTCAACTACAGATGTTTAAATGCAGAAAGACTGGAGATTTGAGTTTATTTTCATTTTGTTTTGAGTGCTTCCTTTTCGCACTGTTGTACTGTGCACTACTCCAGTGTCTCTCCCCACTCTGGGACGAATACAACCTATCTTATCTTACTCTCTTTTTATTACAATTGAAACGTTTTGTGCATGATGTGCTGATAGTAGTAAAGGAGTAGAAAATGTAGTAAGGGCTGCAGGAGGTTTCTATTCTCACTTTGCATATTTCACCATTACTCTCTGCACCAGTGAGGTTTCCTGTGCTTTACACATCACCACAAACATGACTGTGTGGGACTTACTTCTCACTTCTGTCTGCAACGTGATTAATGCTCTTCTGCAAAAATGTGGGATTTCACGAGAAAACTCACCAGCTGCTTGATGACCCTCTCGACCAGAGTGGAGAAAGTGACGTTCTCATTATCTCTGTTATCGTAAACATATTTGATGAGTTTGGGGATGACTTCTGTGTCCGTCTCAGACTCAAACTCATATCCTTTGTTGATCTGCAAGCAGAAAGAGAATGAATTTATCTTCTTCAGCATAACCATGGAACCATGACAGCTCAAAGAGTATGTCATGATAATATTTGCATAATATCGGTGGTGAGTACACAGCCCAATCTCTGGTGTTTAACCTGTTTGGACCACGCTCAAACACTCACACATTCATAGCATGTTAGAATATATATTTAGTCCACTACAGTCCCAAAAACGTGTTCGAGGAAATGGACAACTTTATGAGCCAAGAGCCAGCAAAAGCATCTTAGCAACTGTTGTCATGACTAACATAGAGAAACGCACAAAGAGAAAAGGCAAAGCACGCCTACAGGGTTGAATTTTACAACAACCCTGTGGTGTTAAACATAACTTTATAATGGAAACTGAAAGTAACCAATTTGTGCTCAATGTGTGTGTTGCTATGGTGACATCTGAGGCGGAATCATATGGAACCTATAATATAATATGAGGTTTAAACAGTGTTAGTAATGGTAGTTTGCAATCAAATTCACACTGAGCATGGTATAAATCTGGTTTATAAAATCAGATGAAATCGGGCTGAGCTGAAATGTAAAGTGCTCTCTCACAATGTGATTCGATTGCGCGGAAATTGAAGAAACAATATCAACAACATCACTGTAAAAATGAATACTGACCAGGTACTCCTTCAGCTCTTTGTAGTTGGTGATGATGCCATTGTGGATGACGACAAATTCTAGAAACCACAAGCAAATAAGTTTAGAAATATGCATATTTTCCAGACATTTCCCTGCCTCGTGTCTAAGGGCTGTGGCCACAATAACAGCTCACCAAAGAGTACGAAGTGAATGAACAATTAAACAAAAAATTTACTTCTAGCATTTGGAAAATAACTGTATTATAGATGTATGCTGCTGTATCAACACAACGACTTTCATCATTCTGAAACTTTCCGAGAGCAGTCATTTTTACAGCTCTCATTCAAATTAATGGAATTTCTAATGGAATTCTGGAAGAAAATCTTTTTTTTTTTTTTACTTCTACTAAAATTAAGAAATTCATAAGTTCATTTATTTTAAATGCTTGCTGAAACTTGTGACTTAGAAATGGCTGAAATCCAGCAAAACTAAATACTAACTGCTGTGAGTATACAGTGTGTTTCTATGGTAACCAGCACTTGGTCCAAACTAGCCTAGGACCCGTCTAGGATTGAGATCATTTTATAAACATAACAACATAGGACCATACAAAAGTGGATGAAGACCAACAATGTACATAAGCAGAGTAATTACGCTTCCAAAAAGGAAAATCCGTCAAATTGACTGTTCTGGGAGTTTTAGTGTTAATCTGTGCTTCTATTTAGTTGTATTTACAGCAGCAGAAGAACACCTTGTTTACGTCACTGTTGGACACAATCAGTGAGGGAGCCGGTAGAACAAGCAAGACTGATACAAGATCCAAAAATAATACTGAAGATTGTAGCTGGAGCACAGAGCTGAGCCTCTCTTACTCCTCAGCTATGTGGCCTTTCTCGTCCAACTAGTTTCTTTAAATCACGTGTCACATAATGAACACCGAGGAGGGGCCTATGAAGTGATGACGGAAGTATTCTTTGCAAGCTCTAATCATAAGCATTCTACTAAGGCAAGGCAGGGTGCATGCATATACTGTCTCTGTCTGTCTGGGCGTGTGGAGACGTCTTTTCACGTGGAACCAATCATGCTGCTGTAGTATGAATTGAAAAGGTATGGACACAAATAGGCGGGAACTAGTTACTGAGGGCGAGAGTATTCAGTCAAGTTCATTTGGTGTGAAATCAAAGTCCAGCATTGCATTCTTTATCAACATTTGCAGTTTTAGTTTTTACTTGAAAGTATTGCAACTGTTTCAGGATTAGTCGGACGATTACCTTTTGATTAGTTGTTTGATTAGCAGTTTATTTTTATGCATAATACTTTTGAGCAAAACATAGCTCTAGTGATGCCCCTGGAGAACATCTTCACAGAGAGGACTTGTTACCATGGATCTGCTTGTTACACATTAGGTTGTTTCATTACAAGTACTTAATACATTTTAATTTCTTTCTGCGGTTATTATAGAATGATTCGAGTCCTAAAACCTCTTCTCATCAGGTCTTCGTCTATCTAAGGTAAGTTGACAGGTTTGCTATAATCAGGTCTTTGTTACAAGTCGCATATATTCACATCGGGATTGGAAACGGCGTGTTAACTTTCAATTTGCTTTCTCACCGTTGTTCTTGTCGGAGCGGTGAGGGTGGCTGTTGAGGGCGCTGGGCTCTCCGTGAGTGGCCCAGCGAGTGTGAGCCAGGCCAAAGTGTGTGCTCAGCTCCTCTTCCAAGTTCAGGGAATCTTTTTCTGAAACCAAACCAACACAACAATGTTTGAAGGAGCAACAATATTGGCATTCCATCACATAAACAGCTCAAACTCTGATTCTACCAAGATATTGTTGTATCTGATTGTCCAGTAAAGTTCTATCACATACTATGGAGCTCCTCGTCCAGTGCTTTGACTTTTCCCTGCTTCTTGATCAGACAGATGGAGTTCCCGTTGATATCTGTGGTCTTGTTTGGTCCATCGACAGCCACACCTAAAAAAGAAATAAAGAAGAACAAAGACTGTCGATCTCATCTGAGGTCAAATAGTAACGTAAACCCAACATCCTGCTCGAGAAGGATGGGCAAATACAATATAACAAAGTCTGGTCCGCGAGCCAGTCACGGCCCTCTGTGCCATGTCATGTGGTCCTCTCTCAGGCATTTTGAGAAGGTTTTTATAATCAACAAAGTCATTTATTTTCATTCAAGTTTTGCATTAGATGGAAAATACATTCATTTTGAGTAAAAGAAACATCATGTCGAGCTCTGTCTTGCTAACCCAAAGTGGCCATTGAGATTATAAACACAGTTTCACAGTCTACAAAGTGGCAAAGGGAAACAGTGGTTGGCGCTTATTAGATTCCAGATGGGGCCTTTTGCATGTTCTCCTTGTGCCTGCGTAGATTTCCTCCACTGAAACCATGTACAACAGTGCCCCATAACACCGCCTTCTCTCTGGAGCCAGTACTCCACTGAAAAAGAGATTCTGAAATCTCAGTGGGACTTTTGTGGTTTAATAAAGGTCAATTAAAAATAAATCAAGGTATAAAGCACAAGTGAAAACCGAATTCTCCACCAACTCTAATTTAATTCGACTGTTAAAAATGCATGCAAACCCATGCAGTTCAATTGAGGTGAGAAAAACCAGTCCGTTTGGAGGAGCCAGTTCATTCTGATGGGTCAATCAGACTGGAATGAGACAATGGGCAGTAAAGCATTTAAGAGCACAAGGAAAAGTCAATGAAATGTATTTGGACGGACATATGATACTCACTCATTTTGTTCCAGATCAAATTAAACAGAAATCATGGAGCTTTTCAGAGTGCTGCGAAAATTCAATGATTTCTGATGCAGCAGCTGAGTGTGTGTAAAAGACAAACCAAAGTAAACATAATGTTGTGTGATTACATTTGCAGAGCATTTGCTTATAATTCATGTATGATAGCAATTTTTACAATTACAAAGTTATTAGTGATGAGGGACAGTTACGAGTCGTCATTAAAAGCGTCCTCAGGTCTGGAACCTTAAGTGGCTTAAGTGTAGAACTCGCAAGACCGGTTTGATAATCCCAATGAATCAACGGAGTTCTTGAACATACTCAGATTCATTTAGATTCATTTATTTGCCATTTGCAGTAAAACCACATTGGAAAAAACATAATAATAAATACTCTGTATTCTTATGCTTTGTAAATCCAGTCAGTGTTGCTCTAGACCGAGTCTGGTTCACTTCAACTGGACCAAGTCTGGTTCACTTAAACTGGACCAAGTCTGGTTCACTTAAACTGGACCAAGTCTGGTTCACTTAAACTGGACCAAGTCTGTTTCACTTAAACTGGACCAAGTCTGGTTCACTTAAACTGGACCAAGTCTGGTTCACTTAAACTGGAGTCTGGTTAACATGGTGGAATGCATGTTCACTCGCTTGGGTGTTTTACATCAACAAGTAAAGCCCCAAGTGAGCCAGATTTGTTCCAGTTAAAGTAAACTGGACAAAGTGTTAACGCCCACCCTCATCCAGCCACGACATTCTGTACCTCACTGTAAACATGTACTGCAATAAGAAGAAAAAAAGACAAAGAAAATCCATCCATCCATTTTCTTCCCCTTAATCCATTACTTGGTCGGGGGGTGGCAGTCACAGCTGCACCCAGTACACAGAGCACCAGCCCCTCACTGATCCTCCTGCAGGTGGTGAGTCCACAGGAGATCTTTCAGCGGGGGCTTCAGGCAGAGTGGGGTTAAGTGTCTTGCCCAAGGACACAAGGACCGCAGTCATCAATGGGAGTTGTGAAGTAGGTCTTACAGTGGGCTCGAACCCACCATCTCCAGGCCCACAGGCCAATGCTCTACCAACTGAACAACTGTCGCCCCAGGAGAAATTCACCAACCACCAAAACCCCCAAAATGCACACTAAACGTTTCTGTGATTCTGTACATAGCGCTGATGTTGTTGATGTGAAGATAAACTCTTATCATTCAGCCAACCCAAGCTCTGACAAATAAGAATCAACATGGACATATGTCGTACCTCACATCAAAGCTCAGAACAGCCTGAATTCAGTCAAAGCAGTTTTGTAAAGAGTGTGTTAGACCCCTGGACATGTCTGGTTAACTAAAGTGACCCTCTTTGTAAAAGGTTTGGACAGGAATTCTAATCTGGATCTGGAGCAGGGAAATCAAAAGGAGGCCATAATAAAGTATGAGCAAATGGCAAGTTTAGCTTTAGGACACATCTACCTTATTGTCCATATACTGCGTTCAACTCAAGTTACTTTAACAATGGTTTATGATATCATATAGCCAAAAGCACAGTCCTCAAGATGTTTATGAGTCACTAAAAAAAGGCAAGTGCCCCATATATGTTTGCTTCTCACGTCATTATTGACATTAAAGTAACAAAAACGCTTCTTAAATCTTGGAAAGACAGGCCAATACTTTCAAACTGTCTATTGTTCAAATGCTGAACTGTGCATGACAATGTGACACAAAAAGTCTCTTCATACCGTTGTTAAACACCAATTATCTGAGAGTTTAAACAATGATTCAATCATATAGGTGTTGTCTCGTAGTTCATCATTCCACAGCGATTATGCATAATTATTATTAATTATGTACCTTTTTGCTGTCTTCTTGCTGTGGAAACTACCTGTGCCTATGCCATATCTGCAGCTCATACCCAACCAGGAAGTAACATGATGAACTTTACACAACTTACATAGGGATAATTGTGAGGCCAATATTTATATATCCATTATTACTATACTCAAGGCTATGCTCACAGTCAGAGCAGCCGTCCTCCTGTGGACTCACCACCTGCAGAGGGTCAGTGAGGGGCTGGTGCTATGAGACTTGGGTGGCATCTCTGATTGCCACCCCCCTGACCCAGAAATGGATTAAAGGGTAGAAAATGGATGGATGGATGGATGGGCATTATTACTATGTATTTAAACTGAAATGTATGTACTTTGCAGCCGGTCGGCATAGTTTCAGTGTTGTTTTGGATGTGAGAGTGGACCAAAAGCAGCTCAAGTGTGTCCCAGTCCTACCTGCTGAATCATAGCCTCTGTACTCCAGTCGCTGCAGTCCATTCACCAGCGTCTCAAATATCTCCTTTCTGGTGCGGGGCACTCGGTAATTCAGGTAGGCAAAGATTCCTGGGCAGAGAGACGGCTACAGGTTTTACAGTTGTTGATATGGGCAGGCTAACGACATTTCTTACTGTATTTACACAATTACACCATACATAAGCTGGATATTTCATGTAAAACTTATAGTTGTTATATTCAGAACAGGAAAAAAGGCTTGGGCTTGTTATTATGTTTCAATTGTGCAAACAAAAGGATAACATGACAACAAATATTAAAAAGCAACACATTTTTGTATGTTTAGATCAGCTCTTGTGATCAACATGAAGAATGTGAAAACGAGCGGACCACCCTCACTCAGCTCAAAGTATCAAATAGTGAGAAGTAAGCACAAAATAACATCTTTCTGTCTCTTTCTTTTGGGACAGACTAAATGTTCTTGTTTTGAAATAAAAGTTACAGCTTTAATACCATGTTTATTACATGCTGCCTATGTTTTATGGCATTGAAATATGTGTCCGATAAATGTGAGCAGGTTTGACACTCCACAGACCTGACTTGTCTTGGTTTGTTTACGTTGCACTGTAATGTGGCTATAATCTTCAACAGAATCTCTTTTTCTACCAATATCTTTCATTCTTTCTTGACTTTACCTTCAAGAAATAGTTACTTTCTCACATATTTACAAATAATCAGCTCGAAAAGGAGTTGGAAGAAAAAACTCGGCCATTAAGTGAACACTAAAATAACCAAATATAAACGTGTGCCTGTCTTCTATATGTTGTACAGATTAGTGCTAATTGTGTTGTCGGCCCGGTCTGCTGCTCTGCTGGAGGACGCAGAAGGAATGCTGAGGTCCCCCATCACTCTACATATGCGGGCGTGCAAACAGACGCGCTTTTCAGAGGCGCACATTAGGCGCAGTGTAGGAGCCCAGGTGCGCACTCTCCAACTTTGGCCTCTGGTTTCGCAGACTCAAGAGAACGCGCTCTGATGCGGTTAACGATTGACTGCTCTGTCATAAAACGCCCCTAGGACACGCCAGCTCCACTGCGAGAGACTGAGGAGAGATGCAGGAGTGGAAAAGTGCGGAGAGACACCGGTGCAACAAAAAACATAGCTTGGCCGACTGGAATGCGTCATGTGAGATTGTTTTCATTATCATTATGTCGCCGAGCCAAAGGAAACTGACACGTAGCAGTCGTGCGTAAAGCCTTGTTCTTATAGCCAATCTAATCTATCAGAATGAAACAAATCTTAAAATTAAAGCGTCTCTACCTGGTTAGATCAAATAAAAAGCTACAAAGTCTACCTGGTTAGAAAAGTCAACAAACGTAAAGCCAAAAGTGCATGTCATTATTCTAAAACAGTCAAAAAGTCATTAACGAAGCATTATCCGACAAAACAAAGGAAATTCTTACCACACATCGCTCAGATTTTGGCCTCACGTTCAGGATGCGTGATGTCAGCTGTCAAACTCTTACAGTGGAAGTGATGCTGTCTTGTGTTGCTCCAGAGTGAATGCACACTCTCACACACTCCTGAAGTATTCATGTGGTGTTTCCTGGAGCGACAGGCCCCTCCTCCTCCTCTTCCTCCTCCTCCTCCGTGCGCTCTGTCCCCCGGCCCCCGTACACGGTGGGTCTGCTTAGGTGAGAGACCCACGTCGATTCAAAGCAATGCGACAAGATGTTCTGCGATACATACAAGTACTCGAATATGTTTAGGGCGCAAATGAATGTTTTAATCGGAAGCATGCGATCTCTCTGAATATGAGGAAGTGGACAGGTGAAAACAGACCTCATACAGTTCAACAGATACAAATGATCTTGGATGTAGATTAAATAATACGTAAATCAATATTAATCATAACGATGACAATAATAAAAGTGACAATATTAGTAAAAACAATAATAACAATAATAATAATAATAATAATACCTATACTTTTTGACTAATTCATATTATTATCATGAAAAGGCAGGGGTGATGAATGAAACAGAAACACAACATGCATATACATATATGTACAGGGCATACACAGGGGCAGAAGTCAGAGCAGAGATGCCCGGACTTCCCTTTCTACACACACAGCTCATCCGGGGGACTCCCGGGGCGTTCTTAGACATAGACATAGACATCTCACCCCAATGGGACATGCTCTCATCTTAGAGAAGCAGAGGCTCAGCAACCCTGTGGAGGAAGCTCATTTCAACCGCTTGTATCTGCAATCTAATCCGGCCATTACCCAAAGTTCATGACCATAGGTGATTCACCACAACAGTGTGATACATCTCCGACTGCAGACGCTGCTCCCTTTTCACCACAACAGCAACTGCATCACTTCTTATGTATTTATTTATTGTTTATTTGGTTGGGACAGTGCATGTTAATGAACACACCTGTCCGGATCGGAGGCATGTCCCACTCACAAACACACACTCATTTTTAGTGGTAGGAGAATCCGGAGCACTCGGAGTAAACCTATGCAGAAACCTCCAATCAGAAAGGCCCTGTCCTGAACGGGATTTGAACCCAGAAACTTCTGGCTGAGAAGCTATCCACTCAGCCACCGTGCTGCTCACTGCAAATGCTACATCGATCCATCTGTTAATCTCACACTCCATCCTTCTCTCACTGGTGAACAAGACCTTAACAACCTGAATGTTAAGTTGTAATGTGATATTTCTATGGTTTGAACTTTCTTCCATAAGAGGAACTGGTCATTACACAGTTTCCTTGATGGGCCACAATACTTGTTTTCAGAATGTGACAAAAATAAAAGAAAAAATAACAGTAACATTATTTACTAAAAACAGGGGAGTCAAATCTTAAATACACCCATCTTCACGACGTTTTTGTGAAATGTAGAGTCCAACTTGTCATGGGCTTAAGGAAATGTGGACGTTATGGTTGTAATTACATAGAACACTGCTCAAAGAATGCGGACAACAGCAAAGGGACCAGGAGAATGAGGAAAGTTCTATTTAGAGTGACAAGAAAATGACGTGCTTGCATGATTAATCTATTCCAGAGAATGATTATGAAAGAAAAAAAATCACTCATAGAAATGTAATGAAATTATTTTAATAAACCACTGTAAAATTAGTACTTACAGGAAATATTTATTGTGTAAACCAAAATAAAATCCATAAGTGGGACTATGCAGAGTTTTCCATAGTCACAGTACGGCACAGTACAGCACGGCACGGCCGAGTGTGGGTGCTTTTCCATTAAAAATGATACCTCCAAGTTTCTCCTCAGCGTGGGAGGAGTTGTTACCATGTAATTTACGCGTGACGCGTAACTAGTATCATTGGTCCGTCTGATGCGTCACTTTTTGTCATTTGAAATGAAATGTTTTTATTTCAAGTTCAATACATAACTTAAATTTAAATAACTAAGTATGAACTCAAAAAAGAAGTGCGAGAAGAAGTAAAAAAGTAATATATGATAAAAATCAAAATGCCTAAACATTTATTTTGCCCTTATTTTTTATTCAGCAAGAAGGTCCTGGGTTTGAATCCCGGTTGGACCAGGGCCTTTCTGAGTGAAGTTTGCATGTTCTCCCCGTGTCTGCGTAGGTTTCCTCCGGGTATTCCGGTTTCCCGTACCATAGATCTGTCGTGCGCCTCCTGTACTGGCGACCCCGCTCCCATCTCTGTGTGGAGTGAGAGGACAATTGCCCAAAAAAATAAAAACAATTGTAAACCGCTTTGTCTGTGAAAGGCGGTATATAAATAAACATTACTTACTTACTTACTTATTTTTTGACCAAAAATATAACCTTTTTGTATGTATTGCATTCAAATATGTCTTCATCCTTGCTCATAAATTTAGCAAGGTTATACGGATTTACTGACAAATATAATGTATGTGATGTAAATAGAAGTAAAAGTATGTGGTAGGAAATCATAACTTTTGAACCCCTTTTATGCATGTGTACAGACAAATTAATAAAACAAAGTCTTGATACAATCACAGATTTATTAAAAACAAAAGTAAAGTGCAAAACCAACAAAGTCCAAAGTACATAAGTCTCTTGTATGGGGTGCCGATTGTAAAAATTCTGTTAAAATTTTTTAGCTGAACATTTTTCTACATTTAGCTCACTTTCCTCACATTTAGCACATTTTCCTCACATTTAAGACATATCTATATCTAAATATTATATCTATATCTAAATGTTAAATGTTATATCTAAATATTATATCTATATCTAAATGTTATATCTATATCTAAATGTTAAATCTAAATGTTAAATCTAAATGTTAAATCTAAATGTTAAATCTAAATGTTAAATCTAAATGTTATATCTATATCTAAATATTATATCTATATCTAAATGTTATATCTATATCTAAAATTATATATCTATATCTAAATGTTAAATGTTATATCTAAATATTATATCTATATCTAAATGTTATATCTATATCTAAATGTTAAATCTAAATGTTAAATCTAAATGTTAAATCTAAATGTTAAATCTAAATGTTAAATCTAAATGTTAAATCTAAATGTTAAATTCTAAATGTGTCGCCAAGTGTAAAGCTAAATATATAGAAACCACGCCCACTGCAGTGGCTTCAAATCCAGTGGGCCCGCCTTCCGTGCCGTGTGGTGAGTGGGGGCGGTGCCGCGTGTTTTGAACATAGGAATACACGTGGACCGACGTCACGGCTCAAGGCATGTTGGGTCTCCGGCGCCATCGTCCTTGGCCACGGCACAAAATTAGCATTTTTGTGAAGATTCTTGCTTATTTGCTGGAGCCAGAGTGTATTCACTGTAAACTAAGCCACGTGGAGTCCCGTGAGATTCCTGTGTAATCCTGTAGGGTTCTCACCACACGGCACGGAAGGCGGGCCCACTGGATTTGAAGCCACTGCAGTGGGCGTGGTTTCTATATATTTAGCTTTACACTTGGCGACACATTTAGATTTAACATTTAGATTTAACATTTAGATTTACCATTTAGATTTAACATTTAGATTTAACATTTAGATATAGATATAACATTTAGATATAGATATAATATTTAGATATAACATTTAACATTTAGATATAGATATAATATTTAGATATAGATATAACATTTAGATATAGATATAACATTTAGATTTAACATTTAGATTTAACATTTAGATATAGATATAACATTTAGATATAGATATAATATTTAGATATAACATTTAACATTTAGATATAGATATAATATTTAGATATAGATATGTCTTAAATGTGAGGGAAATGTGCTAAATGTGAGGAAAGTGAGCTAAATGTAGAAAAATGTTCAGCTAAAAAATTTTAACAGAATTTTTACAATCGGCACCCCATACTCTTGAGACCCGGTGAGGGGACGAGTGGGCTTTCATTGCTCCTTGTGGGAAGGGATTCTTGAACAAACAAGATAAGATAAGATAAGATATGCTTTATTTATCTCACAAGGAGAAATGTACATGTCACGTTTGGCATGGATAGAACACTCAGATGTGCGAAATGAGGAAATGTACAAACATGTTACATGCAGGATATATATGTACAATAAAAGTGGCAATTTAAAGTGGCAATCAGATATAGTGTCAATAGTAGTGCCGTTTTTTTTTTCAGTCTTATACAGTGACTTAAAGTGACTTATTGTACAGTCTGACAGCGGTGGGGATAAAGGCCCTGCGGTAGTGCTCCTTCTTACACTGAGGGTGCCTCAGTCTTCCACTGAAGGAGCTCCTCAGCTCCTCTACAGTCCTGTGCAGTGGGTGGGAGGTATTGTTCATGATGGAGGTGGCTTTGGCTAGCACCCTCCTGTCCCTCACCTCCTCCACAGAGTCCAGGGAGCAGCCCAGAGTGGAGGGGCCCAGCACACGGCAGCGTAGTAAATGGCAGAAGCTACCACAGAGTCATAAAAATCCTGAGCAGAGGCCTGCTCACTCCGAAGGACCTCAGCCTCCTCAGAAGGAAGAGGCGACTTTGGCCCTTCTTGTACAGGGCGTTGGTGTTATGGGACCAGTCCAGTTTATTGTTAATGTGAACACCCAGGTACTTGAAGCTGTCCTCTCCCTGGATGTTCAGCAGCGTGTGGGAAAGTGGTTTTCTCCTGAAGTCGATCACCATCTCCTTGGTCTTACTGGTGTTCAAGCACAAGTGGTTGCGCTCACACCAGTCGACAAAGTCCTTGATAACCGACCAATATTCCAGATCGTTCCCCTCAGACACACAGCCCACGATGGCGGAGTCGTCGGAGAACTTCTGCAGGTGACAGCTGTGTGTGTCATGTGTGAAGTCTGAGGTGTAGATGGTGAAGAGAAACGGTGAGATGACAGTGCCCTGAGGGGCCCCAGTGCTGCAGACTACCACCTCAGACTCAAAGCTGCGCAGCAGCCCTGAGGGGCCCCAGTGCTGCAGACTACCACCTCAGACTCACAGCTGCG